GTATCAACGGGGGGGAGACGCAAAGGTCAGCTAAGCGGAGGACCACAAAAAACTTGCCACGGGTGTAGAACTCCGGACAATAGAGTGACGGGAGGAGAACAACACCCTTGCCAGGGAGGAGGAGAGGCGTGCCAGTACTGGCTGTGCCGGTGTTGGGTGGAAAAGTGGCTGCGATCGTCTGCACAGCTCTCACACTTCATGTGCTGCGTAGATTTCGAAAAGGAACCGTGCCCGTGCGGAAAGAGGTGAGAGATTACGTTAGGGTTGGTAGTAGTATTAGCCCTGTTGCAAGACAACATCCTTTCCTCCGAACTATATTGACTCCTTACGGAAAAGGGAGCGACATGTGTAACGCACTTCGAATAGTTGTGGTAAATGAGTGCAGGTGTCAATCGAAGGGGTAGACAGTCCGTCGAGCACGAATCCTATGTGTAAAACCGGGGTAGGTATTTTTCAGCTTAGTTGTCGTCCATGAGACCTCCATATCCTTGAAGCCGCTCTCTTTACTCTCGATCATACCTCTCATCTATGCTACGACGAAGTGGTTGACCACCTTTGTTTCGCCTCTTATACATAGCCTAACCATGGGGCCTATCCACCCTCCACCCTGCATCCCCTCAATATCACGCTGCCCTCGACGCTGCCCGCAACGACTACGATAGGAAGAAAAATGCCCGAAAAGGGCCCACCTCCCTTTTGGACCGATCTACGCAGGCCAGGACTCGAAATGTGGGCACGAGCGTTTTCGAGCTGCCGTCGACCCAGACAACACCAACGACCGCCGATTCTACTCCGACACCGGCGCCGACGCCACGAGAGGGCACAACATACTCAACGTGCACCTCGGTTGGCCAGAACCGGGTATCGGTTGTCGAATCTAACGGCCGCTACATGTGTTCACGGCCCGAGTGCAAAACGTGAGAATGTGTATGCGCTGGATGAACATGCTGGGCGTTTGGTGGAGAACCTTGTCTACTCATGCGAGGACCCTGAACTGATCGGCTCGTTGGGATTCTAACTTTTTGTATTTTCTGCGTGCAAACACCATCCTGGTGACTTCCCATTTTTCCTTCCTCGTAGGCGACCAGCTCTCGTCCCCGGTCTAAACTCCACCCGATCG